TAATAATTATTGAAAATACAATAATACAATACTTAACAATATATATCCTCCTTAGGAGTTAGGAGAAATTAAGGAGACTGATTTGTTAATTAATCTAATTAACAAATAATGGGATTACTTACAAATTAATCATAGGAATAACATATATGGTTTACGCTGATGACAAGCAACCAATCCCATGCCTGCTATTAGGAAAAACAAGAAACAACCCACTACAAACCAATCCCACCATCAGAGGAAAACTCTCCATCACTTGATCTATCTCCTTCTCATGAGCCGGAAACACACACTTGATCACCCGACGATCCGAGAATGCTATTGCCGTAAACACCATCACCGACATCACCGCGTGCACCAAATCCGTCACCCCAATCTTGTACCTAACAGCGAATCCATTAAAAATTTTTATCTGGTCAAATTTTGAAGTCATGATCAAAAGTCGTCAAACCTAAATCGCAACATTAGTTTCTCACGTTTCTATTAGTATTACAAATATTTTAAAATTCAGTGCGGGCAGTGAGCCCCACTATAACGCGCTTATATTGTACCTTTCGTCTTTGGGGATCTCTACGTCCAGTCCTGGCTTGAACACAGCCAGGCCCTTGGTCGTTACGATCCCGTAGTAGACCTTGCCATCGGGTCCTCGGAAACTGTCGGTGAAATGGAAGAAGAAGCAGGAGAGGGCGCATAGGGCAAGGAGGACGTGGATCATCATGGTGTTAAGGGGAGAACAGTCGCCGTTGCGGTACACCGATGGGAGGACCATTTCGAATGTGAGGAGGGTGCCGGTGGGGAGGAAGTTGACGAGCATGGAGGTCTTTGAGATGGTATTCTGGACTCCCTTGGCAACTACTCGCCTCTTGCGGCCTGGTTCAGGGGGCAAGCGAGAGAGGGAGGGGGTTCGAGTGGGACCTTCCGGTGGAGTTGCATTGTACACTTTGATTCCGATCCCTTCTTCCTTTTGCTCCATTGTTTTGATGAGGCAGAAGGGAATGCAGAATGGTTAAAGGAATTGTTGGTGGTTTTGTTTCGATATTTAAAGGTTCTTTTTACTTTTGAATTTGAAAATTGAGGCAGTTATTGGCGGTTGGTGCGTACTGCCAACCGTTGGCCATGCCGCGCTGTTTTTTGATTAAAAAATTATTTTAAATCATTTGATTTCATCAATCAACTTAGTAGAGTTACAATGATTTATGACATCTTATGAATAATTCCCATTATTAAGTAAAACATATAAATCGATAAATATTTATTCATTTACGGTGGTTCAGCTATCACAAAGTAAAAACATAACATGGAAGCATCATTGGAAGGGATATGCCTTTAGCTGGGTTTCAATGGAAGATCAAAATTGCCAAGTGTATGGTTGTGAGAATGAAGAAATTAATGTATGGCTAAAAACAAAAAGAAAGAAGCAGATAAGATTTTCTTTATTTGTTGGCTTCTACAGGTCATTGGAAATTATGAATCGATCTGAAGAAAACTTTCCAGATGATTCATGAATGAGAAACTAGGAAACAAAATATCCCATTCAGAAAAACCAAACAGAACTCAACAAGTCCTAGAAACATCCCCACAGTCTGTCCCTGTATTTATGGAACACCATGGCATTCCCTCCAAAACCCAGATTGAGCTGTTGTTACAAATTCAACAGAGATGTCTCCTGCTCTGTCTCTATCTCTCTCCCACTCCCACCTTCCCCTCTGCAAATCTCAGGACCTTCTTTCCAAGGATACGCACCTCCGCAAAACTACCCCTAGAGAAAGCCCAGGTAGCAGAACACCTACGGATATCAAATTCACCAAAAGAAAGCTGTTGGGTTCCGCTGCTTTGGGACTTTTCGGAGGAGGGCTCTCTGTTAGTCAGCCGCCAGCCAGGGCTGAGCCGGAGAGTCCAATTGAAACAACTTCAAACCGAATGTCATACTCAAGATTCTTACAGTGCTTAGATCAAAATGCTGTGAGAAAAGTAGACCTCGTTGAGAATGGAACTCTGGCGATCGCGGAGATCTACAACCCTGCACTTGACAAAATCCAGACGGTGAAAGTACAGTTACCGGGATTGCCACCGGAGTTGCTGAGAAAGATGAAAGAGAAGAATGTAGATTTTGCTGCTTATCCTATGGAAATCAACTGGGGTCCTGCTTTGCTTGACTTGTTAAGTAATTTGGCCTTTCCTTTGATATTTCTTGGCTTTTTGTTGCTAAGATCATCATCAGCAAACACCCCAGGAGGTCCCAACTTGCCTTTTGGACTTGGAAGGTATATATATCAGAAATTTCTTTGATCTGTACATGATTTCAAGTATTATAGACTTAATTAGTCATGACTTTTATGCTGATAAACAGGAGCAAAGCAAAATTTGAGATGGAACCTAACACTGGAGTCACTTTTGATGATGTTGCCGGTGTTGATGAAGCGAAGCAAGATTTCAAAGAGATTGTTGAGTTCTTAAAGACGCCAGAGAAGTTTGCTGCAGTGGGTGCAAGAATTCCGAGAGGGGTGCTTTTGGTCGGACCGCCAGGTACAGGAAAGACATTGTTGGGTAAGGCTATTGCAGGGGAAGCAGGGGTGCCTTTCTTTTCCCTGTCAGGATCAGAGTTCATAGAGATGTTTGTTGGAGTGGGGGCTTCCAGAGTGAGGGATTTGTTCAACAAGGCAAAGGCAAATTCTCCATGCTTGGTATTCATAGATGAGATAGATGCTGTTGGGAGGCAGAGAGGAACAGGAATTGGAGGAGGAAATGATGAGAGGGAACAAACCTTGAATCAGTTACTAACAGAAATGGATGGCTTTACGGGGAATAGTGGAGTCATTGTTATTTCTGCTACTAACAGGCCTGAAATTCTCGATTCTGCTTTGCTCAGGCCTGGAAGATTTGACAGACAGGTAATTTCTCCTAAATTCCCTAGCTTCAATGTGGATGTTCTGTCTTTAACCGGAATGAAGAGATGTCGGTTTTAGCCTGATACATGAAACTTAAAGAAAATCTGTATTCTTTGTTTGAGCAGGTTACCGTTGGGTTACCAGATATAAGAGGGAGGGAAGAAATTTTAAAGGTGCATAGCAATAACAAAAAGCTGGATAAGGATGTTTCCCTTAGTGTGATCGCAATGAGGACACCGGGATTCAGTGGTGCTGATTTGGCGAATGTTATGAATGAAGCTGCAATTCTAGCTGGTAGGAGGGGCAAAGACAGGATCACCATGAAGGAAATTGATGACTCCATAGATCGAATCGTAGCAGGAATGGAAGGAACCAAGATGACAGATGGGAAAAGCAAAATCCTGGTGGCTTATCATGAAATTGGGCATGCAGTTTGCGCGCAAGTTCATTGATTAGTCCTTTGCAATTCATTATCTGAGACAAATTGAAGTTTCTTAATTGGATTATGCTTTTGTTCTAATGTTGTTGTTGCTTTCAGGACATTGACCCCAGGACATGATCCAGTGCAAAAGGTTACACTGGTCCCTCGAGGCCAAGCTCGCGGCCTAACATGGTTCATGCCAGGTGACGATCCTGCTCTAATCTCCAAGCAACAACTCTTCGCTAGAATAGTTGGAGGACTAGGAGGCAGGGCAGCAGAGGAGGTGATTTTTGGAGAATCTGAAATTACAACAGGAGCAGCTGGAGACTTGCAACAAATCACTCAAATAGCCAGACAGGTTCAGATGCAGAAAAATCCAGTACACTTTTCTTACATTGGTCTAAAGAGGTTATGACAATAAGACTAACCCTGACACAACGCTTCTTTTCTGTTACAGATGGTAACAATGTTTGGGATGTCGGAGATTGGACCTTGGGCGCTGATGGACCCAACAGTTCAAAGCAGCGATGTGGTGCTGAGGATGCTCGCCAGGAATTCTATGTCGGAGAAACTTGCAGAAGACATTGATTCATCTGTACGAAACATAATCGAGAATGCATACCAGCTTGCAAAGAATCATATAAGGAACAATCGAGAGGCAATGGACAAGCTGGTCGATGCACTTCTGGAGAGAGAAACTCTAACAGGAGATGAGTTCAGGGCAATCCTTGCGGAATTTACAGATGTTCCTGTAGAAAAAATGCGGAGAACTTCTGTTCGTGAGATGATCAATGCTTGAGGAAGAGTAATAGTGTAAATGTACAGCACTCTCTAGGCAATGTTATGTATGGTCTACAATACATTATAAAAACTATATACAAGTCGTAACAGAATATATACAATTTTCTGAGACCATAAATTCCAACGGCTAACAAAATTTCCCTTTAATAAATTTGCATATCAAAATGTATGGTCTTGGAGTGCCATAATTTTGTGGGATTAGCTCCACATGGGTTTGTTACATAAGCCCTTGATCTTTTTTCCTAGATGGTGAAGGGTTCTTATGTGCGTCCAAACTATGTCTCCTTTCCTGGAGTTCTCTGTGTTTTTAACCATGTTGGACTGGTGGATGATGGATATTAGTATTTTCATGACATGGGATTAAGGCCATGATGATTCATTATGGTGCCAACGTCTTGAGCCGTTGTCGGAGTAGTGGTATCAAAGCTGTGACGTTCTACCACAAAATGGCAAAATGGGCCAGCAAGAAGCTGCTTTTATGGGACAAAATGTGCAGCAATAAAATTGCTTCACTGGAGGAAAGAAAGTGCAGCAAACTGTTGCATTATGGAAGGAAATGAAATGCAAATGCAACTGCAAATGGAGGCTGCAAATTAGTCAACCAAAGTGCAACAATGTAATAGTGTTTTAATGTATTTTTTATGTTAGTTTATGTATTACAATCTTTAATTAAATGTTAGGATAGATTTTGTAGGATACATGTCACCATAAATCATGGATAGTATGTGAAAAATACTGTTTTTATGTTAATTTTCTGCTATAAATGGGCAGACATGTTAATGGAAATATGGAGAGTTGGGGAACAATTTCTCCTCTCCTCCCAGTTGGATGAATGTCTGCACGCTTCCCTGGCTATGTAAAATTCATGTTCTATGTTCTACTCTTCTCCTACTCTCCTCCAATTCCTCTCTCAACCCCTTCTTCATGCCTCAAAAATCTAACAACCGTGCTGGTCGTATGAAAGAGGCCTAAATTTGCGCAGAGAAACAATACCTCTTGAACCTGATATTGATGACAAGTATGAAAGTTGCTAGAGTTGGAGCCAAGGAGCAGTGGGAATTTTGTAATGGTTGAAGACGATGACGAGTGAGAGCCGTCTTGACTCAAGGGATTCGATTCTCAATTACAGTTTGATGGTATCTATCAGTTGCCGGATAACTTGAACTAGCACAAGAAAAATGATCAATTTCTTGTGGTGGACCCTTTGTGCTAAGGGTGATAGGTTGCAATCATATCAAATTTCCTTGATATCAGTACTCCAAAAGTTCAAAAAAAGAAAAAAAAATTACAGTGAAGGATTGCTGTGACGTTTTCCTAAAGTAGTCCGGATTTCATGCCTAAAAATGTTAAAAGCTAATTCTGTGATCAAAAACAAAAAGAAGAAGAAAAAGAAAAGTTAATTCTGCGATGCACGTCTAAGAAATAATTAAGAATGAACTAAAACATTACGTGCTATACTTCCCATCTGGCATTTACAGATGATATATTATCTCCACAAGAGATGTGTAAGTACCGGATATTACAACAGCAACACCCATAAGTGTTATGCCACTAATGACTATCATTTCGCAGCATAATCTCTGGTAAATTCCTGATATCTTCATGTAACATAAGCATGGCAGTATGATTGAAGCTGTGATGCTTAAGAATGCTCCAACCAAAGACATGAGATAACCAAAGAAGGGAACAATGAGAGCTACTACAACAGTGCTGATCACCAGGGAGGTACTGACCACAAAGCTAAACGGCTTTTTGCCCTCATATGGGAAACGACTTCTAATGGCATTTACAATTGGAGTAACCATCAGTGCATATTTGGCTATAGGGTTGACCAGGGTGGTATAGATGGCCACTGTAGCACTGAGCTTTTCAATTGGAAGGTTTAAAGTTATCTGTGACTCAACGCTTGACCCGAACATCAAGTAGCCACAGATTGCCATTGATGCATAACTGAAGGTGCACAATATGAAGCAGAGAAGCATGACCTGCGATGAGAGAAATAAAGAGAAATCAGAAACCAGATTTATAAATCTAACAAACAGAAATGAAACTAAGTTTTGGGGTTCTAATACTTACATTGGAGAACTGGTGTTTCTTTTTCATGGAATTGTAAAGGGTAGGGAAGACTGGATGAGCACAGTAACAGAAGGCATATAAGCTGACAGCAGTAGGGATTCCATTCAGATTTAGCAGTGTTCCCTTTTGGTGAAACCCAATTCCATCAAATGCACCAGTCCAGATGATTGAACCGAGGATGATAGCTGAGGCTACAACCCCAGTAGCAGAAACGTAAGAAAGAAGGCTCAGGCTATCCAGCCAAACAGAAGGCAAGATGACGAGGGCAACAATGATTATGAAGCCTTGTTTGCCACTGATTGTTACTCCTGCAATCTCAAATTCCACGTTGGGAAACAGATTTTGCAAGTTATCTCCTTCCAGAATCAAGAATCCAGTTGCGACCAAGTAGAGTTCAATATACATGAAAACTGAAACAACCAGTCTCCCCGTCCTCCCAAAGGCACGTTCCCCAATATCAGGGTAAGTTCTGATATCTGAATCTGCCTCCATACATCTTTGAATCAACAAAGCAGTGTAGAATGCTGCGCAGGAGATGAGGAAAAGAGGTATCAAGCTCAACCATCCTCCTGAGGCCAGTGCATAGGGGACTGACAATATCCCAACTCCTGTAGAAACAAGAGTTTTAGATTATTTCAGTTTAGCTTCATAGGTTCTTAGACTTGTGAAATAGTGAAGAGAAACAAATTACTTTCTTGACTAGCTTCAAAAAACAAACAAATGGAAATGCAAAAGCTGTATTTTGAAACTAAGCATGAGACATATCAGTACCATCACAAACATTTTACGCTATGATTATGAGTTGATGCAGATGGCTCAGTGAACATGCGCATTTATCAACAGGATATGCTCATGGGGGATGGTAAAACTCTGTACAGAGATCTAATAAAGATAACTAAGGAAGTTATTACAACCTGACAAAGCATTGAGTCCATGGAAACATGTAGTGAAGAATGATGTTGTGGTGGTTGTAGTGGGACAAGCAACATCCGACTCTACTTCCTCTAGCTTTCTTCCTAGCAGGTGTTTTTTCTCGTCGACAATGAGAGGAACAGCCAAAGATGATGAATCATGTGACTTAGCCTCCATAGTTCAGATGGGAAGAGAGCGAGAAGGACGGACAAAGGAAGAGGGAGATGCTGGTTTTGGTTCAATCTAGAACTTGATGGATATATATAGACCGCAAGAATTACGCGGTGTGTCCAGTCTTAGTCAACGAGATATTTTCCAGATTTCACTTTATGAAACTATTTTACTGCCAATAAATAAATAAATACAAATTCAATCAATTACATAATAAAATTTCCTTTATGCTCTGAGAATATTTCATTTCTTTTATCAACAATAGCAATTTTCTTAAAAAAGTATAACAATTTCGTTAATGACCTACTTAATTTATTGATATTTTTTTTAATAAAAATAAGAAATTTTAAATTTAAATGACATAATACATAAATAATATAAATTGAGAAATAAAAAAAGTTATTTTTTATTATATAACTTAAAATAATACTACTTATTTGCCTTACCTTTTAAATATTAAAAAAAATGTTATTTCAAAATTATATTATGTTAATAAATACTTATTGAAAAAAATTAAAATATCTTATTTATAAAACATAAATTAGTGTGTTTTTTTGTACTTTACTATAATACTTTATTAATACAACGTAGTTTTAAAATAATTTTTCTTTTAATTTTTTAAAAGTAAAATGGATAACTATTAACTTCATAACTTAAAATAAATATATATAACAATTTCTTGAATTTTTTTTAAAGTAAAACAGTACTCAAACCTATATTAAAATAATTACAAAAGATTAGATGAATTGAAATATATGGCCACAAATCCTCTGCCATTACTGAATATTCAGTTTAAAGTCCACATCAAATACCAAATCGCCCACAGCAAATACCAAATCGCCATCAAATTTCAAGCCTTTACTGGGATCAATTCTATATGGACCATTAAACCTTGTATATATGAAAGGGAAGACACGATTGCTAGAGCTGGAGTCATCAATGCAGAAATCAATCAAGGAAGCAAACAAGGAAGTAAATCACCACTTAAATAAATCTGATCAAAGTGCAAGAAACGCTCACTAATCATTCAAAAATGATATAATTATAATACCAGCTTACAATCATGATGTAATTAAATGACGTAATTAAATGAATGATTACATACATTTTTTTTTTATGTTGGTTGTACAAACGGGAGCAATCTTTTTCAATCCCTTATCGTACCCCACTTGCATATCATGTAACTCAGATTCAGTACTTTTTACTTTTAATGGAAAGAGATTACTATTAAATTACTTAAATCGTTGGCAATGAATACATATAGGTGTATTCGCAGTGTGATTTGGTTCAGATTTTAATATTTTTTAAACCAAACCAATTTAATCGGTTAATAAAATTTTTAAACCAATTCAATCTAATATTATATGATAATAAAATCAATCCAACTTAAATCAGATTGGTGTTGTTCGGTCGGATTGATCGATTTTTAACATTATTAATATCTAAGATAATGTAAAAATATTTTGACATCAAATAGAAAACATAACCATAAAACACATTAACATGCAAATCAATAAAAACATAATAAAAAGTACAAATTATAAACTGGTTCTTATACTCTTTTACATTTGTAAAAATTGAAAATATATAAAAATTGTTATTGGTTACATCACTAGAAGCACCAAGAACAATAAAAGATGACTTCAAATTTTTAGTACAGCGTAAATAATTCTTAAATATTAAAATTGGTTTTTTTTTTCTTAATGCACTAATAATTTAATCTCATCTTTTAAATCCTGTTAAAAGTGAATAAAATTTAACATGAATATCACTAAAATTAATGAGAAGCATTCATAATTAAAATTTAAAACTTCTAAACCAAATATCTAAAAATAGTAGAATATCAAGACTAATTTTATTATATTGTTTTAAGACTTTTAGAATGATATTTATTTAAAATTTAGTTAGGAGAATTATAAGATTATTTTAAGAATAAATTAGAAATTTAGGATTCTAATAGTAAAAGCGTAAACCAATTCTGAAGAGATAGAGTTGCAGGTGAATTAGAAATTTAGAATTAGGGTTAGCATGCATGATTAAAATGGAAAAATAACTTAAGGAATATGAAAATATTTTATTTTTATTTTTTAATTAAGTTAATGGAGTTATTATCTTGTAAAATAAGAAAAAGAAATTTTAAAATATTACAAAAAATATATTATATTATTTAATTAAGTTATCGTGTAATCGGATTTTATTTTGTAATCGGGGCCGTTCAGGCGGTTTGAAGGTAAAATCATAAACCAAACCAATTATATCAATTTTAAAATTTTATAATTCAAATCAACCCAATTTTATATTGATTTGGATCGATTTTTGATTGGATTGGATCAGTTTAGGTCGGATCAATCGAATTGGATCGGATATGAACATCCTTAAATACATATATAGTTCATATGTAATATTATATATATTTACTCATGTAACGACACATTTTGATTGTAATTGTAAAATTCAGGACAAAAACCCATAGTTTGCCCTTCAACCTTTGGAGTTTGAGGCATTTTATCCCTAATTTTATAATATATGAGTTTTTACCCTCCAAGTTTTCAAGTTTAGGGAAATGAGGCAATATTTAACACGAAAAGATCACATGTAGCACATGTACTATTGACCTCCGTCATACATGCACATGTTAGGACCAATTGAAACTTTTTTGACATGCTGGCAAGTTCAGCTTAGACCCCTTTTGAGTAGGAATTCTACCGCTAAGAAGTTTATCTTGTGGACTAAACTCATTGACTTATAATTTAAAAGAAAAGTTA